GGAAATCGAGAGATGAGCGCTAAATTGGTAGAGCTTCAAAAACAAGCGCAGATGATTTCTATGGCAGGGCACAAGGGGTCTTTCATGGAGGTTGAAAGCCAAAAATTCTACCATGCGCCTTGGGATGCGCCTCGTTTGGTTTATGAATTAACAGAAGGGATCGAAAGGACTGCAGTGACGATTTTTAATGAAAAAGGGGAGCGTGTTGCTGATTTGTCTGGACCGACAAAGGCTGGACGCAATGAAGTTGTTTGGGACGGGAAAGGGTTTAAAGGCGAAACGCTTCCAGAAGGAAAATACCGATTCAACGTTCAAATGTTTGGAAAGGAAGACAAGGCTCTTGTGGATGAAGAAGGAAATATTGTCACAGCCAAACATAAATCAATGATGCGCGTGACAGGGGTGAAAATGGTGAGTGGTGTACCAACGGCAACCAGTTATGACCTCGATTTTCCAATGTCTTCTGTTACGGGGCTTTCTGCTGAAGGTGTTATTGATTTGGAAAAGAAAGACTCTAAGGACGAAAAAGCCAAAGTAGAGAAGGACGATAAAGACCTGGATAGAATATTGGATGAAGCTTTGGATGAACTGGGGTTGGGTGTTGATTAAGGAATAAATTTAAAAAGAGATTTTTAAGAATAAGAGAAAGGGAGATTGAAAAAATGACAGGTATTTATGGAGCAATGTATTCGGCAAACTCAGGTTTGCAAGTGCAGGGACAAAAACTTGGGATGATTGGTGACAACGTGGGTAACCAAGGAACCAACGGATATAAGTCAAAGTGCGCTGCGTTTTCAACGTTGGTGACAGGGCCAGGATCTCCTGGTGGTGTGCGATCACGAGTGATTCAGGATTATCCTCTCAAGGGCTTTTACAAATCTCTTCTTCAGATACGGACTTGGCAATTTCTGGGAATGGATTTTTTGTTGTGGGAAAAGTTGGAGATCCTTCTGATACTTCCCCTCAAGAATATTCTTATACACGATCTGGGTCCTTCGTTAGAGACAGTGAGGGGAACTTGAAAAACACTGCTGGATATTATCTTCAAGGGTGGCGAACAGACGAAAAAGGGGAACCCATAGCAACCAACCGGAGTACGTTATCAAATCTTGAAACGATTAAAGTTAGCCAGGTGAGCGGATTTTCTCGTCCCTCAACGAAAGTAGATTTGGCGGTGAACTTAAAATCTGATGCGGATCTTAATGATACTTATGATGTGAACATAGAAGTGTATGATAGTCTGGGGATTGCTCATGATTTGAAGTTTACCTATGAACGCACGCAGATTGATCCTATGGAATGGACCGTCTCTATTGAATGTGAGGGGGCGGCTCAAGTTCTTCAAGATAATGCCCTTGGTGGGGCTTATAACAACGTTGTGATTCAGTTTGATGAAAATGGTATGCCTCAAACATTTGACGGTGGCTTGAACCCTCCTGCGATCCATATTATTTGGGATAACGCAGAGACCAGTGCTGCAGATATGACGCTTGATTTGAATTTGGGAACCGTTGGTGAGGCGGATGGTCTTGTTTGTCGTGGAACGGCATACAATATTATTTCCAGGGATCAAGATGGGATCCGTTTAGGGAACTTTACCGGCGTGAACATTGATGAAGAAGGTGTGGTTCATGCTTTGTTTGACAATGGTGAAACACGTAAAATCTATCGTTTGGCTCTTGCAAACTTTGCAAACCCCAATGAATTAGAGGAAAAATCTGGAAACGTTTGGACACAGACAGACCAATCTGGTGGATATGTTTTGTATTATGCGAAAACTTATGGTGTGGGGCGTATCGCGTCTCGTGCTTTGGAAGCATCTACAGTGGATATATCATCCCAATTGACAGATATGATTTTGACGCAAAATGCTTTCTCGGCCAATGCTAAAGTGATCCAAAAATCTAAGGAAATGTTGGATGATTTGAAGGCATTGTAGGTCAAGTTTTTTAAAAACTTCTCGTAAAAAAGGTGAGTGATTTCGCACTCACCTTTTTTATTATGATGAAGTTATTCGATTAAAAACTCTCTTTTTTTCAAGACCTCATTACAAACAGGCAAAAAAGCAGGCATCGTTTACCGGAAAAGGAAAAAAAGTTCCCAATTACTTTTCTTTTTAATTAATTTTTAAGAGTTCTCCCATTTTATAGGATTCAGATTGAGGAACGCCCTATGGGAAGAAGGGCAAGAACATAGGAGAATAGAATGGCATCGGCTGCAGAGACGATACAGAAGTTAGGTATTGTTCGTTTGGGAGTAATGTCAGCTGTTCTTGCTGGGCTTGCAGGGTTTTTCTTCTTTTTAATCTCCCGTGTTTCTGCGCCAGAAATGACACTTCTTTATGGAGATTTAGACCCAAGTGATGGAGCACGTGTTGTTGCAAAGTTATAGTCTTCTGCAACGCCCTATGAGCTCAAAGGAGGCGGGACACAAATTTATGTGCCTGCAGATCAGGTTGCGCGTATTCGTATGGGAATGGCAGAAGCGGGAATTCCAACAGGTGGGTCCATTGGGTATGAAATTTTTGATCGGGGGGAGGCTTTAGGAACTACAAGCTTTGTCCAAAATATTAATCGAATGCGCGCTTTAGAAGGAGAACTTTCAAGAACCATTCGAATATTGGCATCAGTGGCATCTGCACGGGTTCATTTAGTGCTTCCTAAAAAAAATCTTTTTGGAACACAGCGTGATGAACCTCGCGCTTCTGTTGTTT